GTCCTATACTTATTAAAAATAATCTGATAGGTCATAAATGTCCAGTTTTTAAAGGTAATGTTTCTATTTCAAGTCAGCTAAAATCTTACCACTGCACAAAAGATTAAAAAAGAATGTGATAATTCAGACACCTTAGCTTGGAAAATAAATCCAAAGTATGGAGAATGTAACTGAAACAGCCTTAAGGTCGCAAGCCTAATCTATCCACGGGGGGCCAAATGGTCCTCCACCACATCAAAGACCCCCTGGAGTCCTAAACTCACGGGTGGTAGAAAACAGTGGTGTCGCTCTTTTTAACACACACCAACTGAATGCTTTAAAAGATAAAACTCAGTAGATTAGATCTAGGAGGAAAATCAGAAATCCAACAAATGTAACTTTGATGATGAGAAAAAATGCATCATGCTTCCATCTGGATGTGGTGGTTTGGGTAAACTTAGATGAACTGAAATGTTAGCACATTTATAAAACCGAGTTTCAAAGAGTTTCAAGGTAACTGACCATTTTTAAAAGAACAAAAACACTAATATGTTATAAAACTCAGTAGAAAAGGTCAGAGACAGAAGGTGCTTCTATGAGGCATTTACATGATCATTCCCTTTTGTACAAACATCACCAGGAAATAAGGAAAACCATTCCAGAACCCCCTAGAATGAGAAGACTCACTTGACTTCCAAATTGAAAACATAGCCAGTGGTATGTTGTGGGAATGCATGACTGAGCACAATGTATCGCTGAAAAAAGACAGCTAAGGTTTCTGAGGAAACAGATGAGATCCTGCCTTATCATCAGGATATGTGAGCCTATAGGATCCTTCATTGGACGAACAAACGCAATAAGTAAATCACTGTTTTCTTTTCAGATACTGCTGTAAAAACATAACATCAGTAGGTACATCTTCATCTTGAGGCTCCATCACCATGAATTAGTTCATCTACTAGGATCTTTAAGATTTTGAGGAGTCATAGCTTCATTCAAACTAGTTTATGTTAGAGTTAGATTTTGAACATCTGTACAATAAATGTACATTAGAGAAGAAAAAATGATGTTTCGGAACAGCAAACAGAGATCTTGAACGTGCAAAACAGTAACAAAGATAGAAGAATCAACCGATGTTGGCATCCCTTTTGTCACTTATGTGCAAAAAGAGGTTTCCCCTTTTCTGACTGCAGATCCCAATGCAGCGTTAAACTGATGTGATGGGATGTCCGCAGCCAGAGCAGCAAACAAGCTCATTATCCCTCACCCTAACCTTATCCTCTTGTTTAACCTTCCCCTCACCCCTATCCTAACCTTAACCATCTTGCTAGCGAACACGTTAGTGATGCGTCAGTCGCTCTAAAAGCCGGCTCTATGAAGTGAACGGCGGGAGCCGCCTCGTCATTGGTCGGGTTTGGACCGAGCCAACGTGGGGGGGGGGAGGTTCAACTACCAAGGTGGAGGTTAAAAGTAGAGGGTATTTGTAACCTCCCCCTCGCCAGATGGTATGTTCTAACGTTCCCCTTGGGTGGCAAATACGAAAATTCACAGTCAGAATGCATGGGAAACAAACTCTTGATCACAGTGAGAGTAACGTTTCAGGTAGCAAGAGGGTTAAGGTTAGGATGAGGATGAGGGGAAGGTTATAAATAGCAAAACGTTAAGGTTTAGGTGCGGTTAAACGAGCTGGTTCGGTGCTGCATCAGCCGATTTCCCATCGAGTCAGTTTAACGCTGCATTGGGATCTGCAGTCAGAGAAGGGAAAAACCCCTTTTCGCACATAAGTGACGAAAAAGGGCACTTTTGGCGTCAGGGGTCTGACGCGGAGGGTGGCTGACCAAGCGTTTGTTTTTGACGCGCTGGGAGTGAGAATGTGTTGCTTTAAAGAGTGAACCAAAAGGTTGCACAGACTCTCACTGCTTTTGCAACTCTTGGGGCACAAATTGTGAGCAACCTTTATGAAGGAGTGCCTACAACCTCTCCAAACATTTGCAAGGATTCTAAATATTTTTGCAGCATTTACAGTTCCTTGCCATTATGTTTCTGGAATTTTGAGCATATTCAAAATAATAATATTTATTAGAATAGTAATAAATTGCAAGACATGTACTATCTCAAATTCTTATCTTTTGCTTTTCATATTAATCACAAATGAGAAACGGCTTTGGGAGGAATTGGTAATACAACTGAGAATAAATTGAAAGGTTTTTGGAGACAAAATATAACAGGAATACAACTTTGTGAGCACATTTTTTCCAATCATTTAAATTGACCCCAGCATCATATCTCAAAAGTGTACCAGTTCTGTGATTCTAGATCAAATATGCACTTTTTTATTTTTTAATTATTTATTTATTTATTTATTTTTACTATTTTGTGTTTCCAACTATTTGCCTAAAGTCACAGCTCAGTGAGATTCTTACATAGAAGACCTCACTATCGGCGCCGAGTGTTGTAGGGTGGAATCATCGAGATAAAGTAGTAAAAAGAGGGACACATTGTCTTGTCTTAACAAGTGCAGCCATTTTTGGAAATATTGTGCACAGTTGGGATGTGTAGTTGAAATTCACACCTATGTACCCAATGATAATTTAGTTTTCTTTATGCATGAAGTCACTAATTATAGATAAACATGTAAAAAAAAAATCTGCATTTGAACACACAGCTGCAAAGATAGGAAGTACAAGAATCAAAACAAATCAGCATCTAGAAAGAGTGTCCCATTTGGGTGGAAAATACAAGTTCATGTAACTTCAGTTGGTGAGTGCTGGTTCTGAGGTCTGTCAGAATGGGTTGGTTGATCCAGTTAGCTTATCATTGTCCACACTGGTAGCTGTTTGCATGGGCAAGTACAGCATGTATAAAATATACTTTAATGTATAAGACCACTGTATGACAAAATCAACTAATCCTCTTGGGTTGTAATTGAAATGCATGTTTCATCGCTTTATGTGTGACTGAAAAGGACCTAAATGGCAACATGGGGAGATTAAAGTTAAACCGTTATCTCAGCTCAGACTCTAGAAGAAACCATCGGGTAAACTTTGCAGTTGAAATTCATATGGATCAAATCCATCATCTTGAAATAACAGTAAATAGTTTTTTTGTGCATTAAACAAACAAAACTATTACTGAAACTGCTGAGTTTGAGGGCTCAGAGTGATTGTGCAGAAGCTACAGCATCAAAGAGGCTTGAACACCACAGGGAAGGTTTGAGGACTTCTGGTTATTGTGTTTTAGTTACGTTTTAGCCTTTCTCCGAGCATTACTGAGCAACTATGCTTTTTGGAGGGGAGGTCAGATTTACAAAAGAATAAAATGAAACTAGGTCTATAAATACAATGCCAAATCTCTAAGTGCAGAAAATGAAGATAGATATCCGCTTTCCTCCCACTCCCAGACACATAAAGCTCGCTTTCTTATTTCCCCTCTTCCCTCTCTTCCCTCCTTAAGTGTACTCCCTCACAGAAGTGTTGTTTCACTCCCATAGTTTGATAAAGAGCCCAGTTCTGGCGCAACAAGTCTCTCATTCCCATTCCGCAGCCTCCATCTGAGGTGCACACTAACCGCGCGCATCCAGCAGAAATAACGGTGCGCCCTGGAGCTCCGGGCATCTGCTGGTGCCAGAGGATTTATCGGAAACACACGCTGCCTTGCCACGTCTACGTGGCAGGTATACTTTGATCATCTACAGATGCTCACATTATGCAAGCATGCGTGCAACAAAGTGGGAAAATATCAAATGTTCCCCACAAACAACTCCCACGGTCTCTAAACCTCCCATATCAGAGAGAATAAGGATTATTGGGGAAAATAAGAAGTAAATACTCACAGTGTTCCTATGACAGAAACAGATCGGTGGTTTAGTCCCTGAATGGTCCCTGGATGTCCAACTCGAGGTGGGTTCTCAGTGCTTTAAACCGCGCGTAACTCCTGTGTCAAAGACGCAGGATAACCAGGTCCAACAGAGCGCCAGGTAACCGATTCATTTTATGTCAAAACTGAAAAAGTTCCGGATGCACGCAAACGTCGCACCTCTCAAACGTGTCGCGCTTTTTTCCACCTTATAAAACCGTTTGGTGGTTTTCTCCAGACGCAGGAGCGCTGATGCTTTCCCCTCCGTCTCCGTGCCTCTCTGCGCTGGCGCGTCTCTCTCCTTCCCACACTGCCTTCAGAACTGACACACACTCACGCGCGCGCGTGCACACACACACACATGCAAGCGCTACGTACAGGACGGGACCATTGTCTGCATTTGACGTCACGCACGATTCCACAAATGCTTTTTAGTATTTTTAAATCTAAAACCAGGGGGGCGTGGTTGGATAATGTGCGACATTTTGGGTTAACACTGATGCGAATAAAATAATCACATAGGTGAAGACAGGTGAGGCTTTAGGCAACAAGTGCCTAAATCCTCCATCTGGCTCTTTAACTTATCATGGCACGAAAATGAGAAGAAGAAGAAAGAGATAAGACATAAACGTCCAACATTTCTGAGAGTTGTTCCTTCTCCTTCAGTGACTATTTGGAAACACATGTTTTCAGTAACTTGTTACACGAGAGAGATAGGAGAGAACGGGGTGGAGTAAAAAAGAAAAAGTAAGCTGAGTGTGGCATATTTAAATCACCTAAATGTTCCAAATGAAGTCCTATCCCATGCTATCTCCAGCTGTCTCCGGGCAATTTGGTGGGGTACACCCTGGACATGTTGACAGTATACATTTCCTTGTTTTGGTAAATCCCTTCAATGAGTGGGTCAAAAGCCAATTAAATTATCAGATTGCTTTAAATAAATGACAACAATGGCCTTGAAAACATGTGATTTGTTGATAGAATGCTTAACTGTAGGACCACAAAATGTTTAACCAATAGCTATTACTAATGGTTAGTTAACATGAACTAACAGGTAGTTATGATGAACTGAATGTTAGATGAAGCTAACTGTCAAAGGCTAGATAATGATGGACTAATGATTAAGTTATGTATACGTTAATGTTGATGGATGGATTTCCTCCTACCTGTCTGAGAATTTCGTCTCTGTGGCCATCTTCAAATTTCAGTCCTCCTCCTTTGCCATGGTGTCCCACAAGGTTCTGTACTGGAGCCACTGTTCCTCCTTTATCTGATGCCTCTTCAGCACATCCTGAGCGATTTGAAATACATCTCCTACCTACTTTATGCAGATGATGTCCAGCTGTACATCTCCTTTAAGCCCCATGAGATGTCTAAGCTGCAGCTGTTACACACCTGCTTAAACTGTATCAAAACCTGGATGGCTGGGAACTTTCTACATCTGAATGAAGATAAGACTGAGATTCACATTGCCCAAGTAGTCTACATGTGTTTTGTAGCTGTGGAGAAGGCGTTCAACCACGTCCCTCAAGGGGCCTTGTGTGGGGTACTCTGAGAGTATGGGCTGCCAGGCCCTTTGATATGGGCTGTTATGCCGCTTACACATTAGCTTTGGTACGGTCAGATACGGAACTTGAATTTGATTTCACACAAGGGTCAGAAATGCTTTTTCAGATCCGAGGCAACTCTTTTTTTTTCCAGACCACCTCCCCAGTGGTCCAACTGAGACAGACGTGACACTAAAGACTGATTTGCCAGCTGAAATTATGCCTACCGCCTCTGATTGACGAGTAGAATCAGCCAGTGGGGAGTACCTGCATGCGCAATTTATTTTCATGCTGGATGCTAAACATCTCTGTCTCTAGCACGGAGCTCCCGCTCAGTGGGAACGGGAAAAGAGAGAGAGAGAGAGAGCTGTGCGTGTGAGTGTGGTCCTGTCTTTGGGGCATCGGAGCTCTTGCCCCAGCTAACCGGCAGACAGATGCTCAGTGGGAGGAGAAAGCAGTGTGTGTGTGTGTGTGTGTGTGTGTGTGTGTGTGTGTGTGTGTGTGTGTGTGTGTGTGTAGATGGTCCACAGCAGTGGAGAACAGAGTTTTATGAGGAGGACACACACAGCAAATTAATAAAATAATGTGGTTCAGAGTCTCCAAAAGCAACACAACTCACCTGTCTTTGTTTATCTTACTATAGAGGACACGATGGACTTTTCAATTTATTTTAAACGTCACCCATGGGCTTGGGGATTTCTGCATTCCTGATGCCTCTGGAAATATATGTGAACACTACATTGCCCGTTCAAGACCGAACTGATGCAATCCTCCTCTGACTATACCGACGCAAATGTGTAAAGTGGCATTAGGTCGTTGTATGACTGGTGTCAGAGCTTGCTCCACATTGCTGGCAGTAAGTCGCGCTCGTTTCCGGTGAGAGTTGGACACCAAGGCTGCCCTTTGTCACCGATTCTGTCCATAACTTTTATGGACAGGATTTCTAGGCACAGCCAAGGTGTGGAGGGGATCCATCTAGGTGGCCTGAGCAGGTCTCAGCTTTTTTGCAGATGATGTGGTCCTGTTGGCTTCATCAGACAGTAATCTGCAGCTTTGCTGGAGCAGTTTGCAGTCGAGTGTGAAGCGTCTGGGATGAAAATCATCTCTTCTAAATCCACTACCATGGTCTTGAATCGTAAAAGGGTAGAAAGTCTTCTCCAGGTAAGGGACAGAGATGCCTTTCGATTTACTGGTCAATTTTTGTTCCTACACTCACCTATGGTCACGAGCTTTGGGTAGTGACCGGAAGAGTGACGTTGCAGATACAAACGGCTGAAATTAGTTTTCTCCAAAGGGTGGCTGGACTTTTCCTTATGGATAGAGTGAGAAGCTTGGTCATCCAGGAGGAACTTGGAGTAGGCCCGCTGCTCCTCCATGTCGAGAAGAGCCAGTTGAGGTGGCTTGAGCATCTGGTCAGATCGCCTCCTGGATGCCTCCCTGGTGAGGCTTTCTGTGCACATCCAGCTGGGAAGAGATGCAAGGGAAGACCCAGGACATGCTGGAGGGACTATGTCTCTCAGCTGGCCAGGGAACGTCTTGGGATTTAAAAGACAAAAAACATATACACAAAGAATAAGTTTCTGGGGAAACAACAATGTAAATGTTACTAAATAACTTAAACAGCTTTTACTCATGTGAATGAGTTATATTCACAATCTACAGCCTTTAAAGTTAAAGGTGAAACGTTCAGGCCAGAAGTTAAAATGATCACTTCAGCTTGATCTGCTCCTAAAAATCACAACATGTCAACAAATGACAGAAGAAATAAGACAAATTCACTTTTCATCATATTTGAAGATCCAAATGAGAGCATTTCATTATGCATAGTCACTTGTAGCAAGCTGAAATACAGCCAAGGTTAGGGGAGGAATGAAAGGAACCACAGAGGTCCCAGTGATGAGGGGAGATCTGTTTGCTTTGAGCGATTCGACAAATACTTTCATGACCACTAGGCTGCATTTGTGCTGAAGTTTTTACAGAAGCTCGTCTATTTCGCACAACTCTAATAAACCAAATTTAAACCATGGTGTCCCACAATGGAAAGCAAACGTCTGCTGGTGTGCCACAGAAGAAGCCCACCCACTGTACAAGGGTAGACTCAGGGTAAGACTCCTGCAGGCTGATGCAGCTCGCATAAAACATGTTTTTATTAATTTACTGGAATTAGACTGAAGAGTACTCTCGTTTGGGTATGTAAAACTAAAGAAACAAATTATCATTTGTGAACATTGTGTACATTTTGTTATTGCAGCTTAGTTACAGTTTGGTCTATTATAGTTGAGGAGATGTGTGAAAATAGGATGTTACTGTGTGTCCTCCACTGTTGGCTGTGATTGATGCAATACAAATAGTGTCACATTGAGGAGCAGGAGGTTAGGACCCAAGATGCAGACCCAGGATGACACGAGGCAGGAATGTTAAATAAAGAAGAATCCTTTATTTTGGATGACAAAATAAAAATCCAAAAGGGGCAGGAGGCAAAAACCCAGTAACAAAAATGAAGCAGGGATAAATCCAAAAGCTCACTTTATGAGCAAAGTACCAAAGACCAAGAGGGAGAGACAAAAAAACAACACTGACATAAACAATGGACTGATAAGACACAGAGACAAGACAGGGCTTAAATACACTGGGGCATAATGGGAGGCAGATGAGCTGCAGGTGTGTGGAGTGTGGGGGGAGGACCAGGTGAAAGCAATGACTAATCAGGGAAGAAACTAGCATGACCTAAGAGTGAACCTAAAAACAGAAAAGCAACCATATAACTAAAATTCTAAAGGGAAGGAGAACTACAAAAACCGGTGGGACAAAACATATTAAAGAGACTAATAAAAATGAAAAGCTGAAACTATAAACACTGCAGAGGGGTGACTGGAGAAGACTGAAGGAACGCAGGAGACACATAAATGAGATGCAGACAAAGGACACATGAGGGCGCTATGAAACACAAAAGGAGAACCTGGAGTGGGAACTGGAGGGGCTGGGGAACAAAGGGAAACAGAACATGACAAATAGCTTTTATCTAAGATGGCTATAGCTACAACAGATACCAACTGTTACCAATATTTTGATAGTTTATCACTTAACTGTCATAATCCCAGTAAGACTTAAAAGTCTTTAATTTATCTGGGTTTTTCTTCAAATAGTGAACAACTCAGTTCAATTAGGCTGTAATAAAAACTGCAAACCTTTAAAATGACTGGGATATTCTTGTCTTCATAGATCTATGAATGCTAGAGCCTGAGTGTGGAACGTATAAAAAACTTACATATTGTTTAGAAGGAAGCCATTTTTTCTTTCAATTTTCATTTGACCAAATTATGATTATGAAGATGATATAACAAAAATTATGTTTGTACAAAAATGAAAGCCATTCTATTTATTTCACAATTTTTATATATCAATCTTTTTATTCAGTTATTTATTCTAAAAAGAGAAATCGGCTATGTTTTTACATCTTCACAAATTTCAAAATGCAAGCACTTTTAAGGTGATTTTTCAGGATTTTTCAGCATCTCATACTGATGACATTTTAAACGTGCACTGACAGAACAAATTAGCTCAGAAAGAGTTGACATGCGTCATGAAATAAACATAGTTGTTATTGTCAGTTCCAGTTTTATTCACAAGAATTTTCAAATCCCTGAAAATAACAAATACAAATTCAATCATTTTGAAACATTTCAAGTACCAGTAACAGAAACTGAACAAGGTCACATTCAAGCACGTATAATGACTGTTTTCTGGATTTTTCAGCACCTTATAGAAAAGATGATTTATGCAGAAATTGTGCATAAATGCTTAAGATCATAATTTTACCTCCTCCCCATAAAACCCCATTCTTGCTCCATCAAGAACCCTAAGTGTATAGTTGTTATGTTAAAATAAAACTTTGGTTCTTTTCTTGAATTATTTTCTAAATACACAAGATGCTAGTTTTTAAAAAAGTGCCTCAAGCTTGTTTAAGCCATGATGAGTCATGTTTAATTAAGTGGTTATGCTGCTGTTTAATGCCGTTTCAGGTCATTTTGACCCAAAGGCAACTGACGGATTGAATGTTCCCAAACAATGTTTTTTTTTTCCAAGAAATAACCAAACAGTTAGTGGAAATTTTAATGGGAAAAATCAAAACAAGTCAAAAAGAAAAATAACAGTATCTTCTTTGTATAGTCAGACTTGGGCTAACAGGATGAAAATCTATTGACTGATTTTCCCGTCAACCTCTTTCACCAATATGTGTTTGCAAAAAGAAAATGACAGAAAAAAATACAGAGCCGTTTGTGGAAAGTACTAACTCCAGGAACAGACAGACATGAGTCACAGGTCCTTCCAGAAGAAAATCATTAATATCGTGTCTGATTTAAAAACGACTGAAACCTCTTTGCTCCAAACCATTAACCCCAAGCAGCTGACCTCAGGGGTGCAATCTCTTTGGAGGTGTATGCAGACAGATAACAGCCCCTCCACTCCCACCAGACGTGCTTCTCTGTTATTAATTGTATAATTTGTAGATACACAAACATGCAAGTATACACCTGTTAATAAACTTAGGAAATGCAGACTTAAAATATTTTTTGCATCATCACTTTGGTGTTCACTCAAGCGGCGCCCCTATGTGTAACATACATTACATACCCATTCTTTTCGCCACTGGCTGACCCCTTGCTCAGGACACCCACATACACCCAGGTGGGCGTCACTGTAGCAGTCTTTCCTCTACAGGAGTTTCAGGAAACGTCTGGGAAATACGATGGCTTAGTCGTCTCAGCAGCTATGTCTTCATTTAAATTCAGCCCTTTCAGGACTTCTCGAAGACATCTGCATTGGCAGTGGGTGATGTCACTGACCAGCACCAAAACGTGTCCACGGAAATTAACAACATTACAAGTTTTATGATTTAGCTTTGTAAAATCTTTATTTAAACTTTTATTAACTTGATATTTTAGGATTTTTGCAGCTCACCTTGGTGTGATTCCCACCAGCCCAAAAAACGTATGTTTGGCTCCTTCCAGAGCTTGTTTTACACAAGTCTACCTCTGACACTAACTCCTTTTCAAACATGTCTGAGCTAAACTCTTTATCTGTTTTCGTGAAAACCATCACTTGTTAAACATCTGACAATGTTTAGACATGGCCTTTAAAAAACAGTCAGACATTTAGTAGATAGCCTTCTTCACACTGGAAGCATCAGCGGCGTGGAACGGAGACAGAATGTCTCCGCTGTAGAATCCATTATTCAATTCAATTCAATTCAAGTTTATTTATATAGCGCCAAATCACGACAAGAGTCATTTCAATTATATTATATCATATTCTACAGGGTTGATTCAAACCGGCACGGAGCGCCGCTACACATAGGATCGGGTTCTGTTTTTGCCACTAGCCGCTTCCGAGACATGTCAATTAATGCAGTTAACATAGGGCTAGACAGGAAATCAAACACAGTTACAGTGTAAAACATCCAGTGCTTTTCAAAATAAAAGACTATTGCAGCGATGCCTTTTCACATCTATGTAGATTACATTTATATGTGTGACTTATCAGCTTATTTACTCCCAGCATCTTTTGAGAAGTACAACAGTGTGTTTTTCATGGCTTTAACCCATCAGTGGTGTTGAGGGTCTGACCTCATGAGGAAATTACTATGCAGTGATTTTCTCCAAAATGACTGTGCTTAAATTGCTCTGAAAAGCAAATAATCACATCAGCGCCAAGAAACTTCATTTCCCATGATGCTTTGCACACGGAAGCATTGGGATGATGTCACCGCCTAATACCAGAAACACGTTCTGCGCATGTGCGGGAGGCGGGAGCTTGGACAGCTTTCCCGCGACTTCAAAGACTATAAATCATGAACGGAACAAAGAAAACTCCGTTCTTTTGCCCAGGATACCTGGCGGTAAGGACACGCTTGTCGAACGCTCCGACTCCCTTGAGCACGCGGAAGCTCTAAGTGCCCAAGTTGAGCCCACGGAACTGCTGGAAACTAAACTGCAAGCCCATCAGATCTGCTCGTTTCTGCTCCCCTCCAGCTGATGTTTGAGGACACAGAACTGCGGAGGAAAGCAACAACTCCATCCAGCTCTCAGAGACGCTGTAAGTTGTCAAACTCAGCACAAAACAAACTTCGTTCTCTTTGTGTCCAGCCCGTGGAGAAACACTCACGGAGAACGCCAAACAACGGAGAAAGCATCAAACCGACGGACGACGCCGAAAGCTGCGGAGAAACACGGAGAACCGTCAAATCAAACAGTGAGGGACGCTTCACTGTTCTGGTGATCAGAAACTCATCTCCTTCTCTCTCCTTCTTCTCCCGTTTCCTCTATAGTCCAGAATAAGCAATAAAACCGCGCTATTGCTCAAAAGTAGCTTCGTGTTTTCCTCTTTCGCTCCCAATACGTCCGTCGGGTCATTTTGAAAGAATAAACTGCTTATTTATCATTGGTTGAATATCTTTAAACGTTTCCTACTATGGCCAAGTGGTGAAACTAAAAGATATTAACTTGTGATTAATCTTTTGTGTTGTTTCATGATC